TTTATTTGGCTAACCAGGCTAAAATGTGGCCTATTAGCCTTTGTTATACTGAACGGGATAAAATGGGTTTTCGTGACATTTAGTGATAATTTATGTGAATTTGCCATTATTTTACCACATCCATCCCGTCCGTTGCTTTCCTTCTAACCTCATCCCACTAAACCCCCGAAAAGATCAATGCTGTGTCATCAGCATAGGATACAATCTTGCCATTCATGTTTAACCCCAGCAGCGAATTAATATAGGTTATAAACAAAATGGGCCCCAAAATTGTTCCCTGTGGAATGCCCATCTTAATGTTTAGTGAAGAAGTTATTTGGTTATTGACATTAACATATTGTTCTCTGTTATTTAAATAACTCTGAAAAAATCTCGATCGCCTGACCTCTTACACCATATTGTCTCAAAGAACTAATCAATTGATCATGAGGAACAGTGTCATGAAGTGTGTAGATTTCTTGCCGGCTCGTTCTTGCGGTTTGCCTACAATCATCTAGCAGTTTTATCAGCAAATATTACTGGTATGTTTTAGGTAGAGGCCACCATCTATTACTTTCAATTACTTTTGTATTTGAGAATTTCGTGGGGAAGTTTCCCTGCTTAATTATGAGAGTTGAATTCAAGCCTGCAACATTCGGGAGAACTGATGATGCAGGTAGTTGTGATACACTTGATCAATTGTGTAATTTAATAGAGCTTCTGTAGAGCAATAAACATTTCTGTCTTTCAATTTGTTATCCTGATCTAGAGTTGACTGGGTAAATATTGTGATCTGGAAATATGCTTCTGTGCTGATACTTTGGTGTTGCGATTGCCCACAATTCTTCCAGTTTGACGTCTGATTTCGCATCCTCCTGTCTGTCCTGTCTGGCACCTGATAACCGAAGCAATTTCTCCACTTTTGATGATTTATGTGAGCGACCCCGTATGTTAAAATTATTGGGACGGCCGGGGCATTCAGTGGTCGGATGGGCCCTTTTCTCTGAATTGATCGCCGATTGATTCGGGTCTTCTTCTCGCTTTGTCCGTTCCGTCCGTCAGCCGGCGTGGCCTCGGGGCAACCCCGATTCGGCCCCTATTTAAGGCTGTTTTGTCCCCCGCTTTGCCGCCACCACCGCCGCCACCGCCACCGTCACATTCCGGAGGCGGCGTTGCCGGTAACAAACAGTTTACGCATTCATTAGTGATCCGCACTGTTCTGCCATGCCACCGATCCCAACCGGAGCAGCTTTTGTTAAAAACGGGGCGCCCGGATTCTCCAAGCACCAGTGGTAGATTCCATTTTTTTTCGAGAAAAACGCCACAAATATTCCGGGCTTTCCGACTGCTCGTTGCTTCATTCGAATCAAATTTTTTCAATATCTCATATTGCCAATTAATGTTGATGCATTGCTTCGATTTAAAGCAACTTTAGCACTCACAACTTTTTGAAATAAATAATCTAGGGGGAGTTTTTGTA